GTGGCGACTAATCAGGGCGCAGACATATTGGTGGTGGACTCGGATGGAAGACGCCTGACTTGTGGTTGTTGCTCGTGATTGGTCAATAAAGCCTTGTCTGTTGAACCACTTTTCTTCATACTGTGGCCAGTTTATTCTGCAGCACGAAGTACTAGATCGCTGATATATTGTACCACGACTGCCATTTCTCTGTCTCTGCGTTTGAATGACCTGGACTGGAGACATGGAGCCAACCAGAGTTAGACATGTTAAGAAGCAGAATATATAATAAGTGGCATGGCCAGTATCCTGGACTCAAATCAACGGCACCCAGCAAATGTTTCTGGGTTGTAATTGATCAATAAACCCCACTTTATTATACCACTCTTCTTAATACTGGAGTTGGGGTATTGTGCAAATGTTTGTAACTGCAGTGTGGTGTGGCGTCGGATTAGGGCGCAGACATGTTGGACTACCTGGCCTCAGCCAACCCCGTGTCTCTCTGCGATCCAATGGCATGCGGGAAATTAAGGCAGCCAACCAGAGAAGGACATGGATGAGATGCAGTATATAATGAGCGGCGTGGCCAGCGTGGTGGACTCGGATGAAAGGCGCCTGACGTGTAGCTCTGGCTTCTGGCTGGTCAATAAAGCCTGTTCTGTTGTACCAGTCTTTTACCTATTAGGGCTCGGGTATTCTACAGCAGTGACGTACCTGGGCGTCGACATATTGGATCTTTCTGAGCTCAGCCAATTCTCTGTCGCTCTGCGTTTGAATGGCCAATGTTTAAGACAAACACCCAACCAGAGAAAATGATGGGTATAAAACACCATGAAATGTGTGGCGAAGCTAGTATTTTGACAGCTCCTTACGAAATGTTCTAAATTGGGGTTGGTAAATTGAGTGTGCATCGTTGAACTAATCTGGCTGATTCTACATTGGCAGCAGTATTTGTTTGGAAAACGCTATTCAAATCCTACCATTTCGCCTTTTATTCTATAGACAAAATAGACGACCAACCATGAATGCCGGCAGCAGTTGTCATGGCAATCCATGCGATCTTTCGCACAACTGGGATTTGGACCACTGCACCTGACCGACAAAGGCAAGTTTGTGAAGACAACAAGGACGTCAGGTTTCATTTGAACTGCGCGTGGAAAATGCATGTGTGATGAACGATGCTGTCTTCCTTCGAGTCAACACAAGCATTAGTCTCTCGTCTGCTGGGCGATTGGGATACTTGCCGTCCAGATAATGAGCATCGAAACTTAATGTGATAAGGAAATTAATCAAACCCAAGACGATGGCAGCTATTATTCTGAGGTAGTGGGTGCAGGCATATGGGATTACATGCATTTACATGGCATGCAACCTCACAGGGCCTAATATTTTTGTGAAATACTACATCCTGGCAGGTGCAGTCAGTGTAGAGGATTTGTATTGATGGCGACTGACTTACTATTATGGCTTTTTGTGTTTCATTAACGTCTAGTCTTTTGTTCCTGTCTCCATCATATTTGTCTTCGGGTTACCTACAATCATAAAAATAAATCCCACTCCATCATTTACGAAAGAAGTGTTCCCAATTTCCTAGCCAGTTGCTGGCATTGCTAATTCAATCAAATAATGAAATTTGAGGTTTGGCACACTAATAATTGCAAAACTAGAGGGCAATTAGTTAAACGTTTATTGGAAAAATGCGAACCCCAACTTGCTATATAAGACGTCAGTAGTCATATTTCTGACCATTATAGCTTCCATTTGACTATCCCAATTTTCTGTTGTAAAAGTCCTGTGAGTTCATACATGGACAATGTTTTGAGAAAATTCAATTTTACTTGATTAGCTAGCCTTGTATTTTTTAACCAGATTAACAAAACGGAAGCCACAAAGACATTGTGTGGAATTCAGAACTTGTCATTGTAAAGTGAATACACCAATTTAACCGCTTAAGCATGTATAAATTTCTGTGAGGTACCGATTACGGGTTGCATTGTTTTAACCACCTTTTCTTTGACAATATCGGAATTCTTGTTGTTTTTAAGTTTAAAACGAGGCTGTCTGACATTTGAAATTAAAGCATCAATTGATTTACACCCATTCAAGCATACCAATAGCACCGAATTATTGTTTTCATGGCCTTTTAAATGTTATAAGTCTGGAGAGTCAATTTTGAATGGGAACCTTTTACTTATTTGCTTTATCGTCTTTATAACCAGCACTTTTACCGGTGTTCTCGTTATGTTCGAATATTTTACGCTTTTGTCACCTTTGCTTTATCGTTATCATCAAGCTAGACGCACCATATAATGCCATGCATATTCTTATGAATCCGCAAAATTAAATGCTCTAAATATTTTGTTACCCTGTGGTTAAGGAGCATTTGCCCAAAGTCATTTAGGGACTTGGTTATCAGGTTATAATCTTGTCAGAAACTGCCTGTTTATCCCCAAATCATTTAGTAGTTTTATGTCCACATATTCCTTTAATTATTGAAGTCAATGCAATTAAAACAAAATTTGTTTAGCACAAGCAAGCTTCAACAATATGCCAAAAAGGGCTTATCTGTAAACTGAAACTAGTGTAACTAACAGCTGTATAAATAATAGTGGATGTACGCGCTGGAATCAAAGAACAACGAAAACAATTCCGTACAACAAACTTATGTTGCGGTTATCCACTATTGTGTAACGCGCCTACCAAGCGGGGACCTAAATCGATGCATAATCGTTATCCCGTCCCTCACAGATAGCCACACCAGGGTTGACAACCAGGCATACGATAGATGATTAGCAGTAGGAACCAGATTTATTCCATAATACCGCATACAAATGAGCACTATTGGATGGCAAATGAGGTAATTTCCAATGAGTGTTTAGTCTGGATTTTTTGGAAAAATTGTTGACTCGTTTGTTTCTATTTTAAATCTGCCACTCCCTTGTCTCAAATCGCAGTCAACAAACGTGCTTTGAAAACTCTGCAGTCAACAGATGGTCGATATCTGAACTGTGAAAAGGTTTTTCTATTAGAGCATCTTTTATTAACAACATATGATTTCAGCTAGTAAACTGCAATTGTTCACCAGAATTGGAGTTTATTCATCTAATTTTCATAATAGAGCAACTTCAAGTGTTATTTAAACGTGTATTCGTTACCCCAACAATAATATTTAATACTTTTGTGATGAAGCAAAACTTGAAAATAACCCATCTGGCTCCCAAACAAATGTAAAAAGGAGCTATTACTTTATACATGACTCCAAAACAGTGGTTTTTTAACACAGCGTCTAGCTAGGCAAGTCTGTGGCATTCGAGATGAGCGTGCTTTCTCGGAACAATGACCTAACCAGATGGTCTACTCACTATTTGATTACAGAACCTGGCAAATAATATTTTACACTTGTTAGGGACATTCCTATCTGCTGTAGTTTTACGAAGTCGTTAAATATTAGCAATTTATTCCTTTGAATGGATGTACAATTATATAATGTTGTAAACTTTTAAAAAAACTAGCTAAAAATTTGGCAAGGACATTCGGCTGAAAGACGATGTTGTGTTTAGGTCGATAAAGGTAGGGCTTGTTAGTCTTTGGGTGCATCCCAGTTGTCGGTGTATCGGCCATTTTTGTCAATAATGAAGTCTTGAATCATCAGGCTAAGTTTCTTGAAAGTTGGTCTCTGTTCTGGATCTAAGTTCCAGCACAATTTCATCATGTCGTAGACTCCTGATTCACAGGCGTAGTTAAGTTGTTGTGGATTTGGAAGTGTGTGTCCAGAATTAACTAACCTTTTTACTTCCGCAATGGTACTTCCTGAAATTAAAGTAGTATCAAAAGTTATTTAATCTTCCAATCAAGTGTTAGTACGCACCCGTTTGACCACTCACCCGTGTATGCATCACTCCGTCGGGGTCAACAATGTAGTAGCTTGAGTTTTTGCACTACCTTACAACCCTCTAGTTAACAGACCGCAACAACCCGAGAATGAAGTGGAAAGAGGTCACAGAGAACACGACCGTTTATTCGCGTCAAGCCAGCCAAGTGTGTCTTAGTGTGTGGATGAGTGGCGGATGACAGGCATCTGATGACAGTAGCCAATGTAAAGGGGATGAGTCATTGTCACCGTCAGGCCAGTAAACAGGGTTCACTCAGGCTCGATCACTGTTAATCAGCTACAAGTGCTAACCTTATCGATCCATGTGTCTATAAAACCATTCATTATGCAAAAACATATACTTATGTAACTTATAACACCAAGATCTGGGGGTGAAAAACCGGTTTTATAAACGTATTCATGTCGTTTTTCCCAATCCTCACTATTCTCTGACATTGCTGGTATTGATAATAAGATTGTGAAATTGATGCATATAGATACATTGATCGCAAGTTTAAATCGACGCCTTGGTAAAAAGAATGCGTTGTCATATACACAATGGAAGACCGCCTTCATCCACAGAGGAAGTTACTAAAGTGGTGGCTTATACTTCGCAAGACGCAAATGTCTTGACAAGATAAGAGAGGAAAAAGCATTCAGAGTAGTCAGGTGCGTGCTAACTATCAATAACCCTAGAAATGTTACGAGGAAATCAGCATAAATGCAAAATATAAAAAAAGTAGGCTTCAATAAAAGAACCTGAGTATGGCAGTTCTCCGTGGGTTAGGACCTCAAATACGAAAACTCCAAACGACCAAACATCTGCTTTGATGCTTGGCGTATAACCCCCACGCATTGCCTCCGGGGCAGTCCAACGAACTGGGAACTTGGTCTCTAGGTACGAAATAAAGAAAGGTTTCGTTGTGGGTTCACTCTCAAGTTAGATATTTTCGCTAGGTTTATTTAAGTGATGTTTAAATGATGCCTTGGCAACAAAGTATCCAACGGCAGTTAGATAGACCTGACACTGAAACTGAATTTTGGCGGCTGAAATTGGGGCTTGCGCAAGCAGTGTTTTGCTTTGAAATTACCGGACCTTAAACTGTAACATCATTGTATCTAAGCCGTGTGAAAAGTAAGTTGCAAACATAAATCTGTAATGCGTTCTTTTTCCTGAAATTAAAATTCCAGTATGCGAGATAACTATGGTAATCAAATGAGTGCAATTAAATTTGCAAATCCGTATCAATGTTCTCAAAATATATAGAATGGCTGTTCAAGGGGTTTTTAAATAGATTTTTTTTTTCAAAAAAAGAGACAAATGAAAGCCCAATTATAATAGCCAAGGCTAAAGGCAGTCAAGCCTCTGACATCGAAACCTGCACAGATCTGAGCTTAATATTATACCTGATAGGTCAAAGCCCAATCATCAGAAAGTGATGCCACAGTTCTAGCATCCTACAACAATGACCACGTGTCAAAATTCAGGCGAGATTTTGGTCATTTTGTTTGTTATGAGCTTGGATTTATACCAAAACAATTATTTAGCATTCCGTCGATTTCGGTTCTAGCTTGCTTTGCTTTCCGAACATAAATAGCAAGGCCGACCGCTGAGAAATCGGTTGAAATAGTCTTTTCCTTACGAACAACGGGATTATGAAAATCGCCTGGGATAGCCAATAAACACATGTAGCTGCTTACCTTGGTCCTCATTCATGGTAAAATCGTAAATTGTAGTTAAACCGAAGTCGGCGACTTTTACAGTGCCATCTCCAGCAACAAGAACGTTGGCTGCTCGCAGGTCTCTGTGAACGACTTGGACACCCTCCAGGTAGGACATTGCCTTTACAACCTAAAAGCCAAAAAATAAATTCAATGCTGCCAAATAAGTCGACCCAAGGCACAAATTTAGAAAAAGTAGAAATAGAGTCAAAGGTCTGTTTAAAACACGTGCCAAAGGCGGTTAATTTTTCAGTGCTACATGGCTTAGGCTGAGTTGCGGGCTACCCGAGGCAAAATCTAAAATTGTGAAAAATGTTATTTTTATTGTCATTGTAGCATGTCATGTCATTGTGGGCACTCGTTGTAGGAGGTAACTTTCAAAAGGGCAATAAAAGTGTAGAACGATGTGGAGAGTGCGTCCGTTTTTAACACACTAATCAGAGGGCTTTCTCTGGTGCTTAGACGTGTGAGCTGTGTGCACGATTGAATGTTGAGAAATCCAGCCGCCACGATAAGCCGCGAGACCCAGAGACATGAGGGAAGCGCACGTGAAAACTGGCAAATTCAAATATCGCCACTCCGGTCCCGGGTCTGGAATTTAACCTCGGGCGTACAATCGTATCAGAGGGACCACTCCATGTCATTGTAGATCAAAAAAAAGAGGTGAGATTTAGAAAACTGGTATTTTTTATATAAAAAATGCTTGGTACCAGCAATGGTGCTAAGCAAATCCCAAACGCCGTAAGCCAGCTTTTATAAAAACTGAAATGAAAGTTGCTAGCAGCGTGGAGAGCTCACAGAGATTCTATGATAACGTCACCCAAGGCTGAATATTTAGACAAAAATGTTATGACTAAACGTTCATGATGAAAACCGTTAGAAAAATCGTCACGAGCACCTCAGGTCACCAATCATGCACATTACATAAAAAAATCGGCAAAGCAAACGTCCTTCACAACGATACGGAGGATCGGTTGTTCCTGCGTAAAAAAGCTCACATTGAGCTGTGGGTGACAAATATAGCCGCTCAGAACATTGCATTGTGAGGTTTTATTTAAGCCTGAAATCAGAGTAATTGATGGCACGTTTATTTATGCACGTCTTTAATCTTTCGTGTTTAATCTGTAAAATTATAGCGATTATGATAAAATTTATTGCAACTGAACAAGAAAACAAAGTGTGGCATACAAGGTAAGAAGTTAGGTGAAAAATTACACAGTCCAGCCATGGAATAATGCAGAAGTAAGTTTGGCTTTATGTCGAATATGATTGTAAATTAGTACATTAACATCAAAACTCTGATTAACCGAAGCAGCAAATTGGGCGCTGTTAGTCGAACTTGAGAGCTGATCACTTTCGTATGGGGTTTCTCTAACATGATTTGATCAAGTAGAAAACTAGATTTACATAACCTGCAACCTTTGGAAATAGGTTTAAGTAATCTTCAGAATATTATGGTAAAATTTCTTAGGAAATGCCATGCTATTTTGTAAACATTCTATTATGTAAATTCTTCCCATATGAAACCTTTCCCTCAGAGCTGTCTCTTGGGTCCCTTCACCAGCTTTGGAATTCAAAACGACTTCAATACTTCCAAGAATTCCAAAACTGTTCAAAGCGCTCAACATATCGCCATTTAATGTAAAGTTACTGCATTTCTTATTGTTCCACATCAAATTTGTAGGAAATAGCTGCATCATAATAGACAACCAAAGCTTGTGTAGGATGGATTGTGTAAGGTAGAGAATGTTAAGACTCCATGTTCAGCTCCAATCGCGTAAAAGGTGTTAAATAGGTGCTCTTATAACTGTGTCCATTCACTAATATACTTGAATTTTACGGGTGATTAAACGGAAGCTGATTTAGTTGTTCGACACTTTCGTGACATCTTAGCACACAGGGAAATTCTTAATTTCTTCACTTCTAGTCTTGGTAGGGACATTTTATTTCAATGCATTGATCTACAGTAAAATGACACCGAGACCCAAATATGAGTTATCGTATCAAGCAGATGGTTTAACACTAAACCGAAATATTGAGATCAGGTTAATCGAAGATAAATGACTCATGCTGGAACTTGAAGAATTTGCTCTCTTAGGTATGTTACACTGTGTTACGAATAATCCTAATGTGGGTTTGCCAGTTTGATGAATCCTATTAATTGTGAATTAAATCTTTTGCTATATAGTGTAGCGAATACGCTCAGCCATTAGTGGGATTTACTCAAGTTGATGACATAAGATAAGTCATTGTTCACTTAGTTGGGGGATGAAAATGGCAAGGGGGAACGAGACATTAAGAAGAAACCCCACTTATCCCGTTGGCACATATCTGATTCCTTGACCTGAATACTATGAAGAAATATTATTCAAAGGCATTGAGAACTGCAAATGCCTCCAGCACGACCAATTTCAGCTTTAATCGAAACAATCAAGTTCATTTTCGGAGTTAAAACTGAATTATTCATAAAAATCCAGCGATTCCGCGACCTTGCACAAAAAAGTACGTTCGCTTAAATGCCGAGTCAGGTTTCCTCTATGTATTCAGGAACTTATACAAACGCGACCTGTCAAGAACCATCACGAGCGTAATTTTAATCCAGGCCTGAGGGAAAGCCCTGCTAAAATATGACAGTAGTGTTTTTTTTATTTTCTACGCATCACCACTATTTTGAGGTTCTGTCTGACAAAGTCATAATTTGATTTTCAGTCTTCACGACAGGTAGCAAAAAATCACATTTGTGATTGTAATCTAGGTTCTTTGACAACAACTAATTAATGTTCTGCTTCGATGTGCGTCTGCTTCACCACAATGTACTTTTGAGTTTGCTAGCAGAGGCGTTAACCCAAACGCTTGAGCTAATAAAAAAAACCTATAAATGGCCATCATCATACACACCTTTGCAATCATCATGTTAGCCATAGTTGAAAGCCTGAAGCTATATGACACTACTAACTGGTGCACTAGTGTTTGAAAATAGCCCACATTGATAGTGAAGGAGGAGCCTCATCGAATAACATTTGGCTTTTATTGCCCTTTCTGGTGATTTACATGTTCACCATATAAATAAGTAACTCAAAAGACTCATTTTCCTTCAAATTCAAAAATTCGTTTTTTTAAGTCACTTGAAAACGCATGAAGGCTTACTTGCCTAACTCTGAGTGTAAGCCACTGCTACATTACTCACGTGGATTAAAATATAATCTAGAATTTTTGTGGCCATATAGCTTGAGAACAGACTTACCGCCTGAGCCAAAATACGTACTAAAACAACTGACGTCGATGATGTTGAAAAAATTGCAACAAGCAAAGGAACAGTGATGTTGACAATGGTGATCTCAAACTACTCTAAAGGAAGCAATCACAAATAGAAAAACATAACCAGGTACTAAGTTTATCAACTGTTTTCTGTTTGCGTTACCGCATTTATTAAGAACCATCCACTAGAATCTTATTGACATTCAAAGTCATGATTCAAAGAAGAGATCCGCTGGGCAAAAAACTTGAATCAAATCGGGGCCCACATCAAATAGGTACCTCTTAGATGAAAATTTCATAAAAATTTGTATTTTTGACAGCCATTGTGTTATTTATTGAATGTTTGAACGGTTCACAGGCTTATTCCTACTATTTAAAGAGTAAAACATCCGCTCCTTGGACATGCCAATTAAGTATCTCTGCGAGTTGCGCTAATGTTAAGCTTTAAAAAAATGACAATAGAATTGGTAAGGAATCAACGACTCTTGAGATTTTCCAATGGTTTTGATGGGGGAAAAACTTTGCGTGTGTTATGAATGCAGAAATTGTGCTAACATTTGTAGGAAGGCTGGTGACAAACCCCATTGTTCTCATATGCTTCTGGCTTTGGATAATGCTTCTTAACAACCTTAAGATTCCTAACACACTCTTTTCTGCCTTACAAAATAGCAGTAGCGACCTCTACAGTGGTGTTAATGTAGTAGACGATATCAAGGCCAAGTGCACAAAATCATAGCATCCAGAGACCCCCAATATGCTTGACGAATGTCTCTAATGATGACCCACACTGTCGTCATTGCCACTGTCTTTCCCCAAATATATCCCAATCAAATGTCAACAAGATTGAGTTTTTTTATCATTGACGCGTTTTGGTGGCAAAAATTGGTTCTGTTTTGGATTCCAACATTATATTCAACATTGATTGTTATGGGAATCGGACATGTACATATGGAATGATAACACAACACAACTGTTTTCTACGTTTTACGAATTGAGTAATTTTGCAATCTGTTGTTTTAACAATTGTGCTTTGGGGATCTACAGCCGCTCCTAGTAAGGTACTCGAAGAACATTCTAGCATTTCACTCTCTTTAATGACTTTTAGTCCAAGTAGACCAGCTGTCATTTGTTATATAGACATTGTGTCCTTGAGCTATGGAAAAGACCGATTATGATGGGATGTTAGCCATTGCTACAAATGTCTACAATTTTAGCATCTGCAGTAGTGTCAAAGTCACTCCATTTTCGTATCCTTAATTTTTCCTTGCTTTCTTTGATTATCTCAACCAAAATCATGTAGCAAATGGTTACCTATAAGTGCAAAATTTATAAATAACGGATATCAAAGGGGTTCGAATACTTGATCTCAGGTATTCAAGCTGATTCTCACCTGGTCCACAATCCTGAGAAGTTGGGGATACTCGAGCGCTTTTCCTTCATCAGTCTTAAGGTAGTCTTTGAGAGCTCCCTTCTCCATGAATTCAGTAATAATGAGAAGCCTGCCGTCCGGCGCATCACAACAAAACCCGAGGAACCGAACCAAACGCGGGTGGTAGAGCTTGTGCATCACTTTGATCTCTTCGAGTAGGTTATCATCCGATGGATCCGAAAGGCTCTTTTTCACTGCCACCTTAACGCGTTGAAGGCGCCCCTGAAAAACAGCTCCGAAGTTGCCTTTACCGACTTCTTGTTCAATGGTCAAGTCATTAAAGCGGATAACGCAATCATCCAAATTCGGCGGCACAAAAACGTGGGGAGGCCTGGGCTTCACAAGAATCACTTGTCCGTCAATTGTGTTATCTAAGCAGAAATAAAGTAATCTCAATTTAATTCAGCGTTTATTTGCTTCATATTAGCCTACTTTACTCACGGAAAATCACTTTCACCTGGTTTTTGTGTGGACTAATTGGGGTTGAAATGACAATAACTGATTAGACTCAATTTGACTGTGAAACATGCAAACCGATCGTAGTGTTGGACCTTACTATTCCTTATCTTTTCCTGTTTTATTAAGGAGAATTTAATTTATGGAGATCATTTTTGTGTCCTTCGAGCTTGTAACGTCTACGTTCTGCCTTGAAGGCAGTGAACATATCTAATTCTCGCCAACACATGAAGTTAAATTATGAATAAGACACAGCTACGCTTTGTAAGAAGGACAACCAAGGTACCACTACTAATTGGATATTAGAAGACGCAGATGTTCTTTCGCTTCGCTGAAAAAAACCAATTGTAAATTTTAAATGGAAAATAGCTTCCAAAAACTGCAGCAACAGCAGAATACATGAAAGTTGAAGTGGGATATTGCATTAATGGTGCAGATCACCTCAGGATATATTATGTGAAATGGTTCCTCGCTTTCCAAAATGTCGTAAACTCTTTTCATTGAGCTGCACCCATAAGCCCGAGTTGGCACTATGGAACCTAACGAACACACACTGGGAAATTTGATTTTACTCAAGATAACTCCAATTGTATTCACGACATCGAGCACCTGGGTTGCTCTGGTCACCTTTCTTAACCCTTCAGGGGCGATTTTTCGGTAAGATCTTTTTTGATTTTATTCAAAAATGGAATTCGATTACAACAATTGTCTTTCTACACTTTCAGCAAAAGAGCACATCAGTTTTTTTCTATATTTTTGATTAACAGCAACTGATTTGGACTTTTAAGTTCAAATCCACGATAAAGTTGACTGGATTCAGTGGATGTAGAGGATGTTCAATGATCAGAAAGCGTAGCAAGTTGAGAACCTGTCAGCTACGGTGGTTGAGGCTTTAAGAGTTGCTGTAACACAGCAACCAGCATGCCTTTATCGGGTGGATTCTTTGTGTGTGAGTGCTTAAGAAGCGATTCAAGTCCTCAACAATCTGCTTTCACGGCACCCATTTTCCACTCCACAGAAGAACCTGTTTTAACTTCTGAAGAGATAACCCCCGGCGGTTCTTAGCAATGTGAATGAAAAGCCCCATTTTTCATTTATTTCCTTGCAAGTGAATGTTTGTTTGTTTTTTTTGGTTGCCCAAGACCCTCATCTACCCTGAGGCCGTGTCCAGCCCTCGACTTCCCCAGATCCCGCTTTCCTAGTTCTGAGACAGCGAGGTAAGCTTGATTATGTTGAGGGTCATCTTGTATTGAGCTAATAGCCAAATAAAATTAAACCAGTGCCAATGTGTGATCGATGTATACACAGATACAAGGGATTACGGCAACATGAGTGAAATAAGAAGTGATTTCAATTGACCGAACTTTGAAGACACCAATTCACGTATAATCAGAACATTTTTTGCCGAGTAAAATTGATGTAATTTTTGCAAATTTAATATAGTCAAGGAACGAGAAATGATGGAGTCCTCAAGAAAGTCACACTCAAGTCATATGCGGAAAGTCATGCTTTTCCTCCTACGTTTTGCTTATTTTTAAGTGGCTGCTATCTATGAATCAGCGCCAAATGTTTTACGATTTCCACCGTACTTTACAGCATGTCCTAAACTAAGTACGGTTGCAGCCATCGTGGAACTTTCCCCCATGTGCTACAATAAGTGTTTATGAAAAATTAGCATATAAGGGGACTGTTAAGGCTACCATTTTTGGTTTAAACCCCATCAGTATTAAGGCGATTACTGTAGCCCCTTTTTAAGTAAAGTAGTCGAATTCTAAATTATTGACAGTGAGGCATTTCGGACTAATTATGACGCAGTTATGAATTGTGGTTGTGGTTGTACATAGTCAACTTCCAGCACAAGGACTCAGTTGGATTAAACGCTGAAGGGCGTAGAGCCAATTTTGTGTACACCGCATTTCATCAAGCACGCAAGCACAATTTCCTGAATGAGAAATCGATGAGCACAATGGCGGAGCATAGAGTGGATTATTGGTGTGCACACACATCTTTGCCGATGCCCATAACTTGTGTGCCATTTTAAAGCGTGCTTGCGGCAATAAATGCGTGGCTATTTTTAATGCAGAATAATAGGTTCAGAAATAGCAAATTCACACTCCTAGCACAGACCTAACACTCCATGCTCGTCAGGGCCTTTCCGAGGGGAGGAAATCGTCTGTTTGCTTAGATACACTCGAAGCTATACTTTGGTCTTTTTGACCCACTTGGTATTTTTTTGTTTTGGTGTAGGAGGGAAATTGTAAAATTACAACCCAATTATTTCTGCCATGACCTGGTGGATAGTCCGTTGTCAACAGCCAAAGCAGCATGGCACATCCTCAATGCCTCAGGTACTATAAATCGAAAAATGCACATCAAACATGAAATACCACGTATTATGGTAACAGCAGTTTTCAAACTTTAAGAAATCCAGCTTCTCCGAGACCCTTATTAAAGCACTGAAGAATTATAGGTTTTTTTCTTTTTTTTTAAAAATTGGCCATTTCGCGGATTTCTTTTGTTATTATAGCAAAAAGCTTGGGTTGCAGACACCTTTTTAATAAATGCGTTTAAAATCAAAGCCATACCACGGTTCATAAATCATCGATTTCTTTATGGCATCTTAATAACCAGGGTCATCAAAATAACTTGGATGTTTAACAGCTTAAAGGCATTCTTAATAAACACGAAGTGGGCCTCCCCACCCAAAGAATTATTACATAGTTTTCACCCTCTCATTTTTGAATAACATAGTTGCTCTTTACGCCAAGTAAATAAACTCTGCTAGGGCTTTTATCACACTCTGATGGTTCAATAAAGTTTGTGTGTAATTCATGAAAAGTAAAAATCCATAAGGAGTAAGGGGATTTACTGTAACCTTGAATATTATTTAAAAGAGCCAAATTGCACCAAACTTTGTAGCTATTAACTAGAAACACTTACATTTGTAGTGAGTAAACATTTCTTTTAGAGAGATGAATTGATTCTTGGGAGAAAGGCTATACTTTCGCGTTGCGTCATTGAAGTACACCCGGAAATGCTTTACGTTCATTTCTTGTGTTCGAACCGAGAGGGAATAGGGATTTTCAGGATCTGAATTGGAGATATAAGTAACCTGCTCAAAAACGTTGTTAGTTAAATACTCTAAAAAGCTCAAGTAGCAAGTGGAAGTTTCCATGTAAATATGAATTTGTTGATATCAAGCTTGTCTTTTATCCATATTCGGCCAGTAGGCTCATTTTAATGTTTTACGGAAATTTATTTATCTTTAACGGATATGCTCAATCAATACCTTAGTACAAACGTGTTACTTAAGGTTTTGGGATGTTTTAGTGAACAGCTTACTCACAATGCTAAAAAACATTTCGACTGCAGAGAGGAGATTCGAGTAGGAGACTGGATGAACATGCTAAGACAAGATTTTGACAAGGATAATGCCTGGTTCTTAGCTGACGGGATTATATCCCTAAATTGCCATGACAGTTAAGGATCAAAGTTCCGAGTTCAGCTTCAAGTTGTAGCTTGACCAGTTTTAGTTTATTGAGTAGTTTTATTGAAAGCCCAAGGACGGACTGAGTCGTTTGCACCTTTAATTTTCATAAGATGCATAATTAATGATGAATGCTTATTAAAAAACCGATTTTAATCAAAAATCCTTTTAGAATAAAAGACATCACTAGAGTTTTAGATGACGCTACAATGTACACCTACAGCCTCTATACTTGTGCTACGTAATGCCCCGATTCCGAATGAAGTGGCCTTCCACCAGTTATAGATACCTACCAACATGAGGCCGAAGAATGTAAGTTCCAGGCTCGACCCCAGGTATTAGGAGTTTGCGTTCAGCTTCAACACGATCAATGTCTTGCCAAGCATCCAAAACGTCCGAGAAGTTTTCGTCGTTTTCTACATAGTTGTATGGAATAATGCCTCTGACACCTGTCCGATTGTTTTTGGCGAACCACCACTCAGACGACTTGTCATACACAGAGAGAATGTCATGCGCAAAAAATCCACATTCATTAGACTGTGTAGCATTGAAATCATAGATAGCATAAACTGTAAAACCATCCATATATTCAATATTAAAGGAATCTTTTGGAGTCACTTGCGGGGATTTCGACCATTTTGGTAAATAAAATTCCGGCTGCTCTTCTGGCATTGAAGCTTGGTGTTGCTCTCTCCTCCTTCTAAATATTTTTTTGAGGTGTTTGCGGAGACCCATTTTTTCTGTCAAAACTATAAAAATAAAACCCATAATGCAAAGGCATTAACGCTTTACCTAAATGAAATAATAGAGAGATTTGTTTAACAGAGTCTCATTCGATTGTTTAGTCTCTATAAATGGAATTTGACTACAACGTACAAATACTTAGCGGCCAGATTAGATGACGATTGAAGACTTACAAATGTATTCACATTAACATTCACACATAAATAAGAGATGCTTCAATGAAAAAGTGGCGTAATAAAGTTTTTAATAAACAAATAATCACGAGCATCTAAAAACGGGACCACATTTAACACAATGCAGCTGACCTTACTTAAATTGAACTACTCTTAGAATAATTACCATGAATCCCGTTTTCTTATTCTGGTCCTAAGGCTAAATTAATATGCCTTTTCTAAAAACCGACAAAAAGCATTTGTTGAAGGTTATAAATAATTAATATTATGGCATGTAGAAGGCATAAAATATGTTTGCTACTTTTACTGAAACTATAGCAAAATTCAGTAGGTTTCTTAAAATTCCTGATATATACATAAAATCTGGATTTATTTACCAAGAAACAGTGAAAAAATCGTTCTACTATTGAAAAATTAACCGTTAGCCTCCACTCAATTTGATTAGGTGTATGATCACTCCTACTCAGTTATGGTTAATTAGCTTCCTTCTTTTGACTTAAACTGAGCAAGGAGCTTTACCTGATCCCCAATGTTAACTAATGGCACATTTTTCCCCGGTTATACTAACATCAACTTCGCCATAAGCAAATGATAATGTAAGTGTAGTAACTTATAGGTATCCATGTTGTGTGGTTTAAATGGTTGTGCACAAGTTCATTTATCATATTTATGATGTAAATCTCTCTTAACCACACTGTAAACAAAATTCAACTAACAGCCATTTTAAATTGTTTTGGATTAATTTACAAATATTACAAGACAGAAATGTGGATTTTCACTAACATTACCTATTGAACGCAGAAGACTTAATTAAGTGCAGATTTATTCAACCTTGAAGATATTATTTATTTAGGCAACCAAACAAACTATTTTAAAGTCTACTCCTCTTTATATTCGACAAATAGTGTGAATTTTACTGTTTTGTACCTCAAAATGACATTAAAGTCTTCATTATACAGGTCGATTCCCATTCAATTGGTAAACACGTAGTATTTGGGCATTCAGAGCATAGGCGACAGAGACTACGTTATGCAGGTAAAGATAGAAAGAATTTCAATATTTTTACTTTTAAATTTATAGGACTATTCTAGTAAATGACATGCTATATACTGTGTCCTTTCAGTGCCAATTAAGGCATAAATATAAGAAATTTTTCAGATTAATTTCTGCCATTAACTGCATGGCACGGCAGCAAGATTGAAATATTTTTAACACAAAATATATATTGAAACGTTTTGTCCTATTAAATCAGTAAATTAATTTTAATGACTTAACGCGCAAGTGAAGTGTTTTGACGATGAAGTCCTTCCACTAAATTCAAACTGCCCCAGGATTCTACGTGAAGGTTTGTAGGGTTTTAAGCTCATCTTAAGAACAAGAGTCAAAGGTTGGAAAAATAAGAATGCATTACAGACAAACGAAATCAAATGAATTTTTAATTTATAGGGGGTCAACATTCTTTATACAGTAAATTCCTAGATATCCTATCCCCCCGATCTTCCATATCCCGATTGTGTAGTGGAGACAGCACATACATCAGCGAAATGGATCTCAGGTCCTTGCACGCCATTTAATTCCTTTACGGTCCAAAGAGACTCGAAGTTACGCCACCAATTACGTACTGATCACAAAGTTTGCAATTATCTACTACGACGCAATTTTGTTCTAAGTACAAAAAATGTGAAGCATTGTTGGGCCCAATTAAATATTAACCGATAATTTATTATGATCCTATAATTCATTAAACAGCTATGATGATTTTCAGCGAATGTCAACGTAGAAGTTCAGATTTGTGATTGGACGACGAAATCTGTGAAATTAGTCGAATAAAGGAGCAGATGCTTTGTTCAGCGCGTTAGTATGCTTTGCAAAACATTGGTAAAGAACACTCAATTTCGCCTAGAGCAACTGTTTATTAATTAGAAGATTTATAGATGATCGCTAAATGAATAGGTTTTGCGTAAGAAATATCTCACTTGGCCAATATTTTAGATCTGGGTTAGCAGCAGATTACTTCATTTTGAAGTTTAAAGTCCACTAAAATTAACCTGAGAAGTTCAGAATGCTCAATATTTTTTCCTAATGACCTATATCTTTTGCTTTTTAAATGAGTCTTAATAGGCACTTTTAAACCTCTCAAAACGCAACACACTTTAAATGTACTTTGATGTACATTTTGACACAAAAATGTAATAAAGAATCCAAAACCAAATATAGCTTGGGCTTTACAAACTTACTAATGATGTATTATGAATGCAGTCAGTTATTCAATAAGGATAAATTGACACATATATTTTATTTTAAATTATTGTAAATGTTTAGGGATTTTCAGATATCTTTCCTATAATTGGCTCAATACTGCATTTAGCTCCTAATTGCTTAACTTATACACATGGTTTGCTGTTTCATAGATTTTTAATGTTTTGTATTTAGGGTGTATGTAAATTTGTCATTTATGCAAATTATTTAAGGCACAAGGACGATAATGGCCATGTTGTCTTCTGATTTAATGTGTACGTGAACTCAAGCACAGTAAAATAAACATTCTGAGGTCTATGCAAAATTTTTGGTAATGTCAGCCCATGCCATGACAACCATCGCTTTAATAACTGTTTCATTAGCACTTCTCTTTATTTGCACGAACGCTCTTGCTATTTCCCTTCACAGGTCCCACCATTATATTGTTACACAGCATATTTCACAATGTCTGTCCTAACATGTGCCAATTTCTCTGATCTCATTATTTTAAAGTTACTAAGGACATGGTACTCGCTCCTTTTATAAGTCAATGAAGCTCAATGCACATGCTGATGTTTTTGACCCTTGCAGACACTAGACATGGGATGCATGTATTTATTTTCTTAGCGAGTTTCTTCGGTTGCAGGCACATCCTAAACGTTTGGAAACACTGCTGAGATTAAGTTACAATAAGAGTTTAGACAGCTTTTTGTACTGATGATGGATAAGCTTCTGAATCCGCTACTCATACAGACAGTTGCTACCAGTGAACCGCCTGTCGAACGAAAGAAAAAAGAAAAATTTTAGTTTAACAGTCATTCATTAAAACTGGAACATATTTATCATGTGGTTAAAATGAAAGGTAAATCTCACACCTCAAAAGGCAGTGCATGGAAGGTCAGTTTCTGCTTCTCAAGCTTATTTCAGTGTAGCTGAAAATAGCAGGCATGATTCATATGCTGTTTTATTTCTATTGTTGCTGAAAAGTGCTTAAAATTTCACCACAGCTTCGATTTTTTGGTAGATCACGCATGAAATTTAACATATTTAAAAAATATTTTTCAAATGAGTTTATTTTAGCAAGGTACAATGTGTTTTACTCAAGTGCAGCCCTACACGGCTTTTTCATTTGGAGAGAAGATGAAGTCATGTTCTGGATTGGTTTCTTGCGCTTTAACAAGGAGTGCAACAATAAAAAAAACTTTTCCGACATTTTCCGAAACAGTAACAAGAATGGGTCCTTATTACAAAATATGCGAGAGATTATTGATCAATTGAAACTGCTGGAAGGTTGTTACATCTATCATGGGTACCTACCCCACTGACTTCTAAAGCCCTTGTTGTCTAACGCTGCCACTAGTGGACACTGACAGACCTCTATTACAGAGTAGACGAGTACAACAAAGCAATCCTTCTTAACCACGAATTAATCATAATTCGTCTGACTCTATTTATCTGAGTCCCTTAAACTGGTTTCGCCGAGAACTATATAGCACTTTCTATCTGTCTCTGTCTATGGTTGGATGCTGACTTTTTTCTATGCAGATCAAACCAACAAAGATTGGTTTAGCTTTCGTAAATCCTAGTGTTGAAAAACTGGTACACCACAAAACATTTATTGGCCTATTACAAGTCCGAGCCGAACACAATATGTTATCAATTTAATTTAACCACGCTGGGTGCATAGCTAATAGCTTGCTGTTCAAAACCATCCCTGTCTCTGTTTGGCTGCAGATCTCGCACACACACAGTAAGGTTATTAGGTTAATAGGTGGGGTCAACTTTGCCAATAAGTCTGCGCCCAGGTACGTCGCTACTGTATAATGGGGGAGCGCATAATACCCGATCCCTAGAAGAATAAGACTAGTAAAGCAGAAAATTCTTTCTTGATCTTTCAAGAGATAAAGACTTGCACGTCGAGCGTCGTCAGTCCAAGTCCACCACGCTGGCTACACCGATCATTATTTACGGCTCCTCATTCGCGACATTCTCTGGTTGGCAGCATATATTCCTCGTGTGCCATTAGATAGATAGCTTATCATATATTCTGCTTCTTAACGTGTCTATCTCTGGTTGGCATCATGTCTTCCGTCCAAGCCATTCAAACGCAGAGACAGAGAAGTGGCAGGCGTGGAACAATATGTCAGCAATCTCGTACGTCGTGCTATAGAATACCCTCGCCATAGTATGAAGAAAAGTGGTACAACAGACAGGCTTTATTGACCAATTGGAAGCCAGGGCCACGCGTCAGGCGCCTCCCATCCGAGTCCACAATGCTGGCCACGCCGCTCATTATATACTGCTCCTCAGTCGTGTCCTTCTCTCGTTAGCTTCCTATCTTCCTCGCATGCCATTGGAACGCAGAGGGACACAGGATTGGCTGCGGCCAGGTGGTCCAACATGTCTGCGCCCTAATCCGACGCCACACCA